ATGTATAATTTATATAGGATACAACTCATCCATTTGAAGTGTAAAATTCAGTGGATTTTGTTATATTACATTATTAGTTTTTAAAAATATATTTTTAAATTTAAATTTTAATTATTTTATATTTATGTTAGAGAGGAAGGGAGAGGGAGAGAGAGAAACATTGATGTGAGAGAGAAACATTGATTGGTTGCCTCCTGTACGCACTCCGACTGGGATATCAAACTGGAAACCTGGGCATGTGCCCTGACTTGGAATTAAACTGGTGACCTTTTGGTGCATGGGCTGACACTCAACCAACTGAGCCACACCGGCCAGGGGATTACATTATTAATTTGTAAAAACTGCGGTAAAATATATATATAGCATAAAATTTGCTATTTTAACCATTTTTAAGTGTACAGTTCAGTGGCATTAATTACATTCACAATGTTGTACAACCACTATTTCCAAAACTTTTTATTCACCCCAAAGAGAAAGTCTGTAACCATTAAGAAATGGCTCCTCATTCCCCTTCCTCCTAAAGGCCGTGGTCAGTTGAAAGGATTAACTCAGGAGCAGGTAGGATAGATTTGGGCTAAGGCCATGGAAGAAATAAATGTCCAGCAGTGGCCATGAGGAGGCTTCATGGGCACATCCCCCATGACTGAATTACACTCATCATCTCATTATTTGAGCTCTCCTTTGCACAGAACTCTTTTTTTAAAAAAATGTTTTTATTGATTTCAGCGAGAGAAGGGAAAGGGAGAAAGAGATAGAAACCTCAATGATGAGAAAGAATCATTGATTGACTGCCTCCCACACGCCCTACTGGGGATCGAGCCTGCAGCCCGGGCATGTGCCCTGACCAGGAATCGAACTGTGACCTCCTGGTTCATAGGTCAATGCTCAACCACTAAGCCACACTGGCCGGGCTGCACAGAACCCTTACAAGTTACAAAGAGTCTTCACATAATTTTTACAGATACCATTTCATTTATTTATTTTATTCAAAGAACAAAATACAATCTCAAGAAATGAGATGGTTTATTCTGTCACCAGTTGACAGGTGGCAGAATCCAGACCCAGGCCCAGAACTTAGATCTGCCTGAGTTGGGGTAAGGGGTGGTGGAAAGAATAAGAAAACCATCACTTACTGGGGAGTCACCTATTTGCCAGGCATGGTGCTAGGTGCATGCACATGTGGCTGCATTATTTCATCTTCACAGCATCCCTACGCTAGACAGAGGGAAGTCTTCTCTTGGTTGTACAGATGAAGAAACTGAAGCTTGCAGATGTGACTTGCCCAAGGTCGCACCGTCAGCCAGTGGTGGTGCTGAGATTTGGAATCCCGTGTGAAGGTTGTTCACACAACTCTTTTGTGTCTCTTGACCCCATCTCCCTGGGACCTTTTCTCTTCCAGGGGCAACTGGATCGGCGAGGCTCCATACAAGATGGGGAGGCCATGTTCTGCCTGCCCCCCCAGTTACCAAGGCAACTGCAATAGCAATATGTGCTTCTCTGGGCTCAAATCCAACCGGCTCCTGTGGTTCTAAATTTTTCCTGTGCTCTGGCGGGCCTTTAGTGGGCCTGATCCTCTAAGGGTCCCTCCCTAAAGATGGGTCAAGGAAAAAAATTTTTGAAGACATGAATTGGACTCCCTCCACTGATCTGAATTTTTCTTCCCGATTGCATTTTCTAAATGTCTAGCATGTGCCAGAAGAAAACGACTGCCTTGCCTTCCTTCTTTAGTCAGTTGCATCTTTCTTTTCTCTGGCCTCCAGGAAGGAGGCCTGCGTTTTTAATTGACTCATTTCTCAGAGAGCCATGGTTGGAAGGAACAGTGGCAGCAGTTTTGTGACTCTCAGGCCTCAAACTCACAAGTCTTTTGCCATCCAATAAAAGGTATCTATTAAATAACCTTAATCCTGAAAACCACCTTTATTAACCAGTTAATTGCCAACTAGCTTCTGGCTATTAACCAGAAGACCTGTGATCCCCTCCTTGAGTTGGGAACATTTTAGGTCTGAACTTTAAAAAAAATAATTGAAATTAGCTTGTGAACACCCCCACTCCTATTTCATATTACTAGAGCCACTCCAGGGTCCAGGCCCCCCCTTTCACACATGGGCACATTGAGGCTCAGTGAAGAGGTGTGACTTAGAGCTGCACAGCTTGTCTGCCAAGGCACTCAGGTTGGAGCTCAGGCTCTGGCACCCCAAAGTTTGCCAGGGGTAACTCTCTCTGGATCTATCCTACCCTTCCCCCCTTTCAGCCTCTCTGCTTTAGTCTCTCCCTTTCATCTACTTGCCAGCTCTGTCCCTATCTGTCTTACCCTGTATTTCTCCTGTAGAATTCTTTCTCATTCCCATTAACCACTTCCCCTTTCCCCACCTTTCCCCACCCAGATACCGTTAACACACAAAAGTTCTTTTGTCTCCAGAGATAGTAAAATTTCTTCCTCAGACCTTGCCCTCCAGCTGGGGCCCACACCCTACCTGGCTGGAGAGAGCTTCGAAGACCAGGATGGAAACAGCTCCTTTCCCTAGGGTCCTTGCATTTTCCCACGAGTGAGTTTTCATCTCTTTTGGTCATTCCCACCTACGCCACAACCTGTGCATGTCACCCCTCCATCCCCAGTAAAGTCCTTTGAGATTAGATGCCCTGGCTCTTTCTGGTCCCTCTTTCTCTCAGCTCCCAGAAGAGAAGAAGAGAGAAAGGAATTGAGTGAGGAGAAAATCAGCTCAGGAGGAAGACTAGGGGAGGGGCTAACAGCCCCTCAGCCCCTACTTTACTCCAAGCACATCAGCTAGATCAGTGCCTGTGCGCAATGTTTCCATAGCACGGCTCCATTTCACAGAGAGGAAAAATGAGGCTTCGACTGAGTGCCCCTTTCCAAATGCTGGAAATGCGTGAAATAAGAGAAACAGGGCACTGTTGTGAGTTCATTATTCTCAGATTATAATCTTCCTACTTTATTTGGGGTGTGGATATTAAAATGTTCCTTCATTTATAATATAATTGTGATAATAAATCTTAGGTTTTTAATAAAGTGATTAATGTCCTTACATTGGGAGGAGAAAAGGGCTTGCCAACCCTATGTCAATTTCCCAAATGTTCTGGAAATGTAAGTGGCAACCTGAATCAAATAGTATATGTGAGGTCACATAGCTAGTAAAGAGCAGACATGGGATTCGTCTGCTGTTATATCTCCCTTGACCTCAGTATTCTGGCTTGTTAAGCTCTGTTCCAACTTGCAAACCTCTGTAGTATATTATACTTTTTGAAGATTTCCACACCCCAATCTCATTTGATTACTCATTTGTTCATACATTCACCAACCAAGAAGGTTAAGAGCAGGGGTCCTCAAACTTTTTAAACAGGGGGCCAGTTCACTGTCCCTCAGACCGTTGGAGGGCGGGACTATAGTTTAAAAAAAAACTATGAATAAATTCCTATGCACACTGCACATATCTTATTTTGAAGTAAAAAAAACAAAACGGGAACAAATACAATATTTGTATTTGCATGTGGCCCGCGGGCTGTAGTTTGAGGACCCCTGGTTAAGAGCATAGGCTCTGGAGCCAGACTGCCTACGTACAAGTTTAACTTAGTGGCTGGATGTGCTTGGGTAAGTTACTGTGAGCTCTCAGTCTCATCTGAAAATGAGGACACGAATAGAATTGCCTCATGAGGTCATCCAAACCATTAAGTGAATGTATACATGGAAACCACTTAAAACAGTGCCTTGCTCATAGTAAGTGCTATAAAACTATCAGCTCTGAGAACAGTGGCCATTAATATAGATCAGGGGTGGGCAAAATATGGCCCATAAGCCAAATCCAGCTCTCTGCCTGTTTTTCTCAATAAAGTTTTATTGTAACACAGCCATGCTCATTTGTTTATATATGTTTTATAGCAGCTTTCAGGTTTCCACAGCAAACCTGAGTAGTTGCAAAAAACTGCATGTCTCACAAAGCCTAAAATATTTACAGAAACATTGTCAACCCCTGAGATCTGTAGTGTTCCTGTATTCCTGGAGCTTATAATTCTAGAGGGACAGTTAGCCATTAAACAGAAGATGAATACAAATATCCTATATAATAAAGAGCTAATATGCTAATTAGACCAAACAACAGAATGACCGTCTGAACGACCTTCCAGATGAAGCCGGGGCTGTGAGGGCCAAGCCCCTTGCACGAATTTCATGCATCGGGCCTCTAGTACTATTACAATGGCAGGAAGTGCTACCTGGAAGAAGAACGGGGAATTGCAAGAGTGTGTTCTAAACTATAATGGGTAGTCATGGGAGTCTTCCTGCAGAAGGATGTTTTTTGGCGAAGAAGAGAAGCTGGTCAGGCTCTGAGGCAGTGATGACAATGTGGATGGGAAGCTGGGGGAGAGAGCACATGGCAATATCAGGGATTAAAGAAGACCTGCTGGGTGTTGAGGGAAAGGGAGTGAGATGATCCTGGTAAGGGAGGCAGGGGCCAAATCATGAACAACCTTGGAGCTTCACTTGAGGAAAATGGGGAGGCATAGCAAGATTCTAATAGTGGAGCGACATGTCAGATTTGCATTTGAAAAGATAATTCTGGCTATATTAATGGGGAAAAGATTTGATGAGTGTAAGAGTGGGAACTGAGGTGGGAGGTAGGGGCATTTTGGTAATCCAGGTGAGAAATGAAGATGGCTTGAACCAAGGTAGTGGCATTAGAAACAAAGAGAAGTGGATATGTTTTTGAGATGTTTAAGAAGTGGGATTTGAGGGGACTTTGTAATGTTTGGGTATAAAGGAATGAGAGTAGATCAGTGCACCATTTTATCAAGATGAAAAGTATAGGGGAGGAATTTTGATGGTAGCAAAGAGAAATTAGGGGCATATTATACTTGAGATGTCTGTGAAACATATAAGTAGAGGTATCTAGGAGGTAATAGTAGGAATCTGGACTCCAGAGAAGAAATTTAGGTTGAAGATACAGAATTGGGAGGCACGGGTATAAGGTGTATGGGTGGCCATAAAGTCATAGGAATGAATGAGATTATGGGAAGAGAGATAATAGAGTAAGGAGGGGAAAAAAACACCAGTAAATCTAGAACTAAACCCTGAGTAATTCCAGTATTTAAGGACAGGTAGAAAAACATGACCTGTCAAGAGATAAAGAGGAAAAGGAACAAAAGACTATTGTAGAATGGATGCTAAGGGAAGAGGTTATTAAAAGGAGGAGTGGTTAACTGTCAAATCCTGCTGGGGGTCTAGCAAAGTATCCATTGAATATTTAGACATGAAGTCATTCTAACTGCCAGTGAAGACTTAGTGGTGTGTATGGAGGGGAGTGGGAGGCTATGCTATAGGTAGGGAAAGTAGAGCTAGTGTAGACCGCTATTTTAAAAGTTTAGCAGCAAAGGGAGGAGAGAGCAGATGTAGTAGGTGAGCTGGGGAAAGACGTTATTGAGGGAATTTTTAAAAATATATTATTATTGATTTCAGAGAAGAAGGGAGAGGGAGAGATAGAAGCATCAATGATGAGAGAGAATCATTGATCGGCTGCCTCCTGCACACCCCCTACTGGGGATCGAGCCCACAACCCAGGTAAGTGCCTTTGACCAGAATCGAACCCGAGACCTTTCAGTCTGCAGACCAACACTCTATCCACTGAGCCAAATCAGGTAGGGGGAGGGATTTTTTTTTTTTATAAAAGAGATATAATCGCATGTTTAAATATTGATAGTATTCTGCTTCTAAAAATTTGTCCTAGAGATATACTCCCCACCATGTGAGTCAAGACACAGGTATGAAGACAGTTGCTGTTTGTAGTGGCAACAGCCTGGAAACAACCTAAATATTCCGCAACAGGACACTGGCAAAATCACTTATAGGATGTTCACACAATAGAATACTACACAGCTACTCAACAGAACGAGGTAGGTGTGCTAGTATGGAGATAGCCCTTATATACTAACGGTGGGGGAGCAAGTGGCAGAACAGTGTGTCTAATATGTTCTCATGTATTTATATGCATTTACATTTGTGTGTATGTCTTAGCTCAAGCTGCCATAACAAAATACCATGGGATGGTTTAACCAATGGTAATTATTTTTTCATGGTTCTGGAGGCTGGAAATCTGAGCTCAGGGTGCCAGTATAGTTGGAGAGCTCTTTTCTTGGTTTGCAGACAAGTGCCTTCTAACGGTGTCCCTGTATGGCAGAGAGAGAGAGCTCTCTCAAATCTCTTCTTATAAGGACACTAATCCTATGGGATCAGAACTCCACCCCTATGACCTCATTTAATCTTTTTTATTATTACTGATTTCAGAGAAGAAGGGAGAAGGAGAAAGAGAGAAATAGAAACTTAAATGATGAGAGAGAATCATTGATTGGCTGCCTCCTGCGTGCCCCCCACTAAGGGATGGAGCCTGTACCCCGGCATGTGTCCTGATGGGGAATCGAACTGTGACCTTCTGGTTCATAGGTCAATGCTCAATCACTGAGCCATGCCAGCCAGGCTCATTTAAACTTAATTACTTCCAAAAAGGTCCTAGTTTCACGCAAGGTCCTAGTTTCAAATACAGATTGGGGGTTAGGGTTTTAACATATGAACTTTGG